AATTGTGGAGCTGTTCCACCAGGTAATTTTACTACAGGGACTGCAGCAAGTGGTACAACATTCCCAAACAACGCAGATTACACTTGTAATGAAGGACATGAAGTAGCAAGTGGTGATTTCAGTATTAAATGTCTAGTATCAGGCCAATGGGATGTTGCTAATATACTAGTTTGTCAAGGTAAGTATCTAGTCAATCTTATTCTTGCTAGTGGCTAACAATATTGAAATTCTAAGATTGTATGTTTACCGACAGGCCAATGGGATGTTGCTAATATACTAGTTTGTCAGGGTAAGTATCTAGTCAATCATTAATATTCGATAGAACAATTTCGATAGTGACGTCATCAAACGCAAACTTAAACATTTAAACCATTCGCACCTTCGATGAAAAATATACATAAAAGAAGCCCTAGTTTTTCTGTCTCTACACCAGCCGAGAACATTCAAAATAGCTATCAGAGGATGGAAAAGAAGCAGATGTTTCGGTCTATGACAGCATATACCTAGCTCAAAGGCTAGGAGTTCAAAACGATCTCGAGGCCATTAGGATAAGGTCATGTACCACGCTCCGTAGTTTTAGTAGCGAAGCATTGCGATTGTGACCTTTTCTATCGCAAATGTTTCGCAAACCATCGCATAGACAGGTTAGTAATATTACATAGACAATTTAGTAAGATCCCATCACAATATCAGTTCATTAAGACCCCATAAACAGTTTTTTCCATCATCATTAAAAATGTTTTTGAGTTTGTTTCTATTTGTGTCATTATTAGAACCTATTTCCTGATTGTCAAAATGGTGGACATATGGAGGCAGAAGATGGCAAATTAAAATGTAACTGCCCATCGGGAACATTCGGTGAAGACTGCAGTAAGTTCAAACTAAAATAAATCTTATTTCTTCTGCCGCCACCAAACAACCCCCACCCTAAAAGAAAAATAACTGAATAATAATAATAATAATAATAATTATGTCGGAACGGTACCGTGGCAGTGCGTATCCGACTTATTACATCGGCAAGACGTTGCACTAAGAAGCAACGTTGAAAGTGAAAACCCATGTTTAAATGGTGGCACATGTGTTCCGGCAATAAAAATCGCTGAAACTCCCACCTGTATATGTCCGCCTGACACAATTCAACCAGTTTGTGAACGTGAGTTAATTTTGTAGTATCATCTATTTTTGTAGATGTCTTCATATGTTCAGAGAAGACAATAAGTTCTGATAGCTCTCGTCTTTTGTAGTCATTTCATACAAGCCCGATTCTATTTTTACGCAAACTGAAATCCAGATTCTGACTCGATCTCAATCTTAAAAAAAACCGATCCAATCCAATTCAATCTTCAATCCAAACCCTTAGCAAATTCAATTTTGTGCTCACACGCATCTTCAATCACACCTTCATAAGCACAACGGATGGCACAGTGAATGCTAAAAGCTAGCTATGTGTCAAACTGAGGAAGAGCCATTGTACATGATGAAATTCTTTTTAGGGTTTATCTCTTGATGACGAGGGCGAGTAAAAACGAGAAGAAACGAATCAAAATAATAAGATTAAAATTTCTTTTCTTTTTTGGTTAAAATTGAGTCGCAAAATATCAAAATGATGTTGAAAGTGAAAACCCATGTTTAAATGGTGGCACGTTTGTTCCGGCAATAAATATCGCTGAAACTCCCACCTGTATATGTCCGCTTGACACAATTCAACCAGTTTGTGAACGTGAGTTAATTCTGTAGTATCAGCTATTTTTGTAGATATCCTCATATGTTCAGAGAAGACAATAAGTGACGCCAACCTTTGATCTTTGCGGACCAATATCCAACTTACTGGTACAGGCATTGTGCCAATTTTTTACATATGGAGGCAAATTTTGGCGTGCTGTGACGTCATAACATGATTGATAAATACTCTCTTCTGGTGATTTTACAATGAATGGAGTTGACTAATTTCTGAATTTTACTCATCATTTACTCTGATGTTTTGGCCACAAAAATTATGTAGCCTAAATTCTGGTATATTCTAATGTCTGACCGAAATGTTTACAGAATCGCATTTCGCCTAATACTTTTGCATAAATTGAATTATTAACTTCAAAATAGTTCTGATAGTCTAAGAATGTCCTTGGGTTGAAAGAAGCCAACCAATGAAAAAATTATTATTGTCTGAGCAAAGTAAAAAGTTTTTTTGATTTTTTTCTATTATTTTTATGAGAAGTGGAATATCAGCCCCAATAGTATTGTTAGTCTTAGAATGTCTTTGCTTTGATAAAAATATAAACATAAGAACACATAATGTCTTCAAAATTTGCTTTTACAGAAGCCCATTTTCAGTCAAAATTTGTGACTTTTTAGGGCTGAATTTCCTAGGAGAGAAATGTGTTTTGTTTCAATGTAAACTTACAAAATATTATATTTTTATCAACGCAAAAACATTCTAAAACTATCAATACTCTTTTTAGGCTGATATTCCAATTCTCTTCAAAAATACGGAAAAATTCCAAAAACTTTTTAATTTGCTTAGACAGTATTTGGAAATATTATTTTACAGAGGAAAATTTTCTGTTCCGAAATGTAAGTCAGTTTCATCGAAAATTAATGGACGTGTTTATTTCAAATATAAAATTTCCAAACATTACATTTCTATTAACACAGATACATTTCAAGACAAATAACATGTAATTGAAACTTTATAATATTGTGGATATTTGTGAAAAATACTGTTTCAGTAGCAAATGGACGTAATGCTCCTTTCTTAGTTTGATTGTAAATTTTACTTCAATGGCGTTCTGTGTTTTGACAGGTCTAGGGGTTTGTGAAATTGAAAACCCATGTTTAAATGGAGGCACGTGTGTTCCGGCAAGCAATATCGCTGATACTCCCAGCTGTATATGTCCACCAGGCACATTTCAACCAGTTTGTGAACGTAAGTTAATTTTGTAGATTTTGTCTTAATATTTTTTATTTACCAGTTGATAGAGTTTAATATCAGCCATCTGTATATTCGTCTAAACATTTACTTGACCAGCTCAATATCAGCTATCTGTATAATCATCTAAATATTTAATTCAGCAGCTGATAGAGCAGTCAATTGGACACAAATATTTTGAACACAAGTCAGTTCAACACGGCACTCTTTGAAGCACACATTATCACGTCGATTGGGTGAACTCAATCAGCGTCATTTTACATTTAAACATTGCTGGAAATTGCGACCATAAGTACAAAAATATAGTTATTTGCAAACCAAAGCGTAATGATGAACGGCGATACATATTATTTAACAGTTATGTAGATGAGAAAATGCACACCACACCTTGTTTAATACTGTATAATTGATGAAAGCTTGTAATTATATTATGTTTATAGAATTATACCCTACCTAAAATATATCTTTTACTATTTCATTTACTATTTCAGAATGTTATTATAATTTTACTAGAGACGCATATATACAACTAGATAGTCAAGTAATGTTGGCAATAAATTCGCTGAACCAGACTCAATGTGATGAAGAGTGTGATAAAGATGAACGATGCACATTTAACTTTATAGGCCTTGATGGATGTTATATATTTGAAAAACCAGTCATTTTCGCATCTGGTAATGGAGATCTTAACAAATATAAAGAGAGGTGTATGCAGATGGAAGAATGTTTATTGTTGACTCACATTCTTGAAGATAATAAGTGTTTTCTTTTTAACGTCACTTTGAACAACGCTCTGAGTATTCTTAGATTAATAGAGGGACAACATGGAAATAACATTGCAGAAAAAATCTGTTGTTAAACAAAGTCCGTTATTGTGGGACTTTGCTTCCGCAAAGTCCCAGTTTGTTATCGGAATGTCCCTTCTTTTTTTTTTTTTCGATTTTTCCACACCTTTTCAAGCAAAGGCTGGAACAACTGCAGCAACATTTCTACATTTGTAGACCTTCTGTGGTGCTAGTCATATATCACTTTTGTTGCTACTCGTTCAACAGAATAAATCATAAAACGTGAGAGGGTGGGCTGCGATGACGTTACACGGATACTTTTTAAAGGGGTATTCCGCTTTTTTGTAAAATGTTTTCGTTATCAAAAACGTCGTAAATTATACCTGAAATATTTCTAAAGTATGCTATTTATATCTATATATCTTCTTGATCAATCTGAATTTGTTTTAAAGGGTTGATTAAAAACGGAGAGTAATTGTTAATTAAGCAGTTTGACCTAGTTTGGCTATATAATGGCTCGTTATTATTAGTTGAAACCTTTCTAATACATAGAAGACATATTTCTCTACAATTAGGCGTGTATTTTACTCCAATCCGTACACTAGTTTTCTAACAGCTTCCATAACGAACTTAAAAACCTAACGTAATGTTTTGAAATATTTTTGAATGTTTATAAATCTACGGCTGGTTTTTTTTTAGTTAAAACTTTCAGATAAAGTGCACATTTCTCTAGATTTTGGTGTATAGTTTTGACTAATTTGCGCAAAACAAAAATTTCGAAGCGGAATGTCCCTTTAATCTGAAAGTCAAGATTCGTTCCCGAATTATGGAATGATATGCAACACGTGAAGGGCCAGACTTTTATCGGAGATCCGTTTTTAGATCTTTTATTTTTGAGAATTTTCGCCTTATATCCCAGCTGAATATCCCATCCTTATATTATCGCGTCCGAGATCCAGATTTGTCGGGCTAAATTGCAAATTCCAGCGAACTGGAGGAATGTTTTATCTCTCTCAATTTTTTCTATCAATTCTTCAAAGCTTCACCGATCTGCTACCAGCATGGAATGCACCCAGAAACTATGTCTTTTCCTTTTTGTTCTAACTGGTAGAGAAATTAGTTCAAATATTGTATTTGAGGAATGTTTGTTTTCTGTAATAAATCCATCTCTCTCAATTTTTTCTTTCAATTCTTCAAAGCTTCATCGACCTATGGACCCAAAAACGATGCTATAGCTGGTGCGCAATTAGTTCAATCATTGTGTTTGAGCAATGTTTGTTTTCTGAAATAAATTAATAAAAGGTATTGATTATAGTTAACAGAACGTGCTGTACAACTTAGATACCACACAGAACTTTCATACACAGAACGTGCTGTACAACTTAAATACCTCACAAAACTTTCATACACAGAACGTGCTGTACAACTTAGATACCTCACAGAACTTTCATAAACAGAACGTGTTGTACAACTTAAATACCTCACACAACTTTCATACACAGAACGTGCTATACAACTTAAATACCTCACACAACTTTCATAAACAGAACGTGCTATACAACTTAGATACTTCACAGAACTTTCATAAACAGAACGTGTTGTACAACTTAAATACCTCACACAACTTTCATAAACAGAACGTGCTATACAACTTAGATACCTCACAGAACTTTCATAAACAGAACGTGTTGTACAACTTAAATACCTCACACAACTTTCATACACAGAACGTGCTGTACATCTTAAATACCTCACAGAACTTTCATAAACAGAACGTGTTGTACAACTTAAATACCTCACACAACTTTCATACACAGAACGTGCTGTACATCTTAAATACCTCACAGAACTTTCATAAACAGAACGTGTTGTACAACTTAAATACCTCACACAACTTTCATACACAGAACGTGCTGTACAACTTAAATACCTCACACAACTTTCATACACAGAACGTGTTGTACAACTTAAATACTTCACACAACTTTCATACACAGAACGTGCTGTACAACTTAGATACCTCACACAACTTTCATACACAGAACGTGCTGTACAACTTAAATACCTCACACAACTTTCATACACAGAACGTGCTGTACAACTTAAATACCTCACACAACTTTCATACACAGAACGTGCTGTACAACTTAGATACCTCACACAACTTTCATACACAGAACGTGCTGTACAACTTAAATACCTCACAGAACTTTCATACACAGAACGTGCTGTACAACTTAAATACCTCACAGAACTTTCATACACAGAACGTGCTGTACAACTTAAATACCTCACACAACTTTCATACACAGAACGTGCTATACAACTTAAATACCTCACACAACTTTCATAAACAGAACGTGCTATACAACTTAAATACCTCACACAACTTTCATACACAGAACGTGCTGTACAACTTAAATACCTCACAGAACTTTCATACAGAGAACGTGCTGTACAACTTAAATACCTCACACAACTTTCATACACAGAACGTGTTGTACAAGTTAAATACCTCACAGAACTTTCATACAGAGAACGTGCTGTACAACTTAAATACTTCACACAACTTTCATACACAGAACGTGTTGTACAAGTTAAATACCTCACACAACTTTCATACACAGAACGTGCTATACAACTTAAATACCTCACACAACTTTCATACACAGAACGTGCTATACAACTTAAATACCTCACACAACTTTCATACACAGAACGTGCTATACAACTTAAATACCTCACACAACTTTCATACACAGAACGTGCTGTACAACTTAAATACCTCACACAACTTTCATACACAGAACGTGCTGTACAACTTAAATACCTCACAGAACTTTCATACACAGAACGTGCTATACAACTTAAATACCTCACAGAACTTTCATACACAGAACGTGCTGTACAACTTAAATACCTCACAGAACTTTCATACACAGAACGTGCTGTACAACTTAGATACCTCACAGAACTTTCATACACAGAACTTTCATACACAGAACGTGCTATACAACTTAAATACCTCACAGAACTTTCATACACAGAACGTGCTGTACA